TGCCGGCCTAAAATTGTGAAGGATTGAACTCAGTGACCTGGATGATCTTCTACTCTTACTGTCCTTTGTGTTACTTCACATCAAATTTCCTGCACTTTCAACTCTGTAGAAACTCTACTTTTACAATCCATGCAACATCAGGATGCTTTTAAGATATTCCAGAGGAAACTCTGTTTTCTTAAGAAGTAGTGATCTTCTGTAATTTAGAATGGTCCGAGTTTCCAGAGACCAGTTAAAAAAAAAAATAAGTGCAGTAGGATATCCATATACCAGTTACTCTTCTCAAAAGAAAAATGACTAAACTCCGGCTTGTGCACTTCCACATTCTGTTCCTGGGTGCTGACTGGGTGCTACTTCAATAGGAAAATTGAAATACTAGTTCTCACAAGTTTGATTTCTGCAATCCCAGACAGGCAGGTAAGAGCCTGCTGTTTCTTGTTCTTGGAAGAGGACAGACATAAGGTGGCTGTGCTCAGTGTCAAAAAGGAGGCAACTTTAAAGGATGGTAACATCTTTTCAAAGAAATTTAAGCTATGTATGTGGGGAGCAACATGATATCTCTCTCCCTGTATTCTTCATTTATCTTTAATAGCAACCATTCATTTATCTTTAATAGCAACCATTTGCTCCTTTTTCTTTTTTTTTTTTTTTTTTTTTTGTTTGTGTTGTATTTTTTTGGTTTTGTTTTTGTTTTTATTTGTGTGGTTGGACTCGATGATCTCGGGGGTCCCTTCCAACCACTAAGATTCTGTGATTCTATGTTATCCGAATTCTGGTTTACAAACTTTTTTTAAAGCTCCTTTGTTCTTGTGTCTGGAAATGAATGAACCTTTTTTCCTTTTTTTTTTTTTTTTTTTTTTTTTGGTTGTTTGTGTTACCTAAGCTGTTTTGTATGATCATCATTCCCAGCTTCCAGAACACTGCCCTCCTGGCAACTTTGCAATATCTGGAGGGGGTTTATATGTTTCCTGCTGGGTCTTAGAAGACCCAGGCTTCTCTGGCAGCCATATCTTTTCTTCTTCTCCCACACAAAATTGTGTGTTCAATTCAGGTCCGGTATGACCGTACAGGACATGGAACTGATTTTGTGAATATTGGAAGGTGAACCATCAGGCACGCTACCCAGTTGTGCAGCTCACACCCACACTAGACAAGATCAGCTGTTGGTCATCATTTTGGCTAGTTCTGCTAATACACAGCAAGAATTATGAACCTATTGGCATTTTTTATGCATGAAACAAGCATAGACATTCAATTTTTTTTGTCCAGAAAGATCAGGTAACATCCCTGAGAAGATCTTGTGATGAAATATGGCTTAACAGAGGCAGGACAGAGACGTGCAGTGTCTCATATAAAAGTGTGTGCTCTGTGTATGTATACCTATATATTACCAAAGAAATACTGTCCATTTATTTGACCTTTTCCTTGTTTCCCCAAGCCCTTTCAACTGGTTGTACAAAACTGTACTGATTTAGTAAGCTGTAGCTTTCTATGGTATCAGTCTCAATGATTATCTATAATGGTGAATCTGAGCTATCCTTTCTCATTCATACCTGTTGCCAAGCACATTTCTTGGTAAAAGTTTAGCTAAGGAAGATGAGTCAGAGAGACGTCGAGTATCCTCAGAGGGGCAGATGCACTTCTAGCAGAAAATCACTGAAGTGCTTAAGTGAACAGAAATCAGGTTTACAAGCACCATGCTTCAGATATTTTAACACTCACTCTAGCTCAATAAAGGCTTTACTTTTCACAGTAAATGTCAGCTCCTTCTTTCGCATTAAGACATGCCTTGGAAAGTGGTGCAAATAGTACATTATGTTTCTTCACACACTTCTGAAAGCTGCTAATAAGGCATCAAAAATTTTTTCACACAGCATATCTTCTTTTCCCTTCTGCCTTGTTGAATGCTCAGAAGAGATCTTGTTTATAAGCTATATTCATCCAGGTCACAGAAACATGGATTTCAGGACCAGGTCAGAGAACCATGCATTGAAGTAGGCTGATTGGCCTCAGTTATGCTGGATATGTGAAGATAATCTAATTTTTTCAAAGACAAGTTCCAAATTACTTTTTTTGAAATAATATAAATTTCTGCAGTTTTTCTCTAAACTTCTATCTGTGAAGCATGTCTGATAAAAGCTACAGTTCCCAATGCCACTCTTTGATCTATGCTAAAGGAGAAGTTTCACAGAGATCTAGACGTTTCTCACAGGTTTTTGGGGGTCTTTTTTCCCCCTAAAGGACATGAGGACATGAGAACGTGAAGTTCAGAAATGCAGGTTCACAGATTTTTTGTATGAAGTTTAATATCAAAGACCCCAGATTGTTGCAGTTTCTGGGCACAGTGAGTGGTTTCTCAACAAATACTTTACTGTTCTTTTTCTGTGTCTTTAACATTCAAAAGATACCTCATTTGAAGTGCTGGCCATGCAGAAATCATCCAGGTTTGAACCCTGAAGACTTGCAGATTTTGTTTGTATTTTCTGCACGACCTCATCTGACCTTCTTTATTACTATAAAAGCATCCTATCTGAAGCGGAGCAACAAACCAGAGCCATGTAGAGTAAACAGAATGGAATGGACTAAGAATGGAAATACAGAGGAGAAAAAAGTCAAAACTACAAAAGAAAAAAACAGTATGAAAAACTGAATTTATTTTTTTTTTTCAGTTAACTTAGTCCATGTGAAGCAACACTTCAGTCAAGCTTTTATTACCTAGGCATAGTTTGTTTTAGAACATTCCCTGGACTTCTTCATTGTCCTGAATACTATACAGGTATTTAACAAAGATATTCCTTAGGCTGTTCAAAGAGTAATTTCTTTACTTTACTTTAGTAATAAATATTTACTTAGAAAGAAGAAAGTGGGAAACAAATCATATTTCAACCCTCTAAACAAAGGTGAATTTTCCCTACAACGTAATCTTCTCTATGTTAATGTTAGATAGTGTCAGATGTTAATGTTAGGTATTAGCTTTAGATATTTCTAGCATGCAAAATATCTTATTAGCATGGAAAAACCATAAAACCTGAGGTGTTACCAAATTCAATCATGAGCAATAATGAAACCCATACAAAATTACTTTCTAATACTGTTTTCTTAGTTTAAAACACTGTTTTGGAACAGGAATTTACTTTCAAGTCTTTTTGTACTTTGGTTTCTTTGGAGATGTAAATGATGTGAAGAGATGGTTCTCTGAGTGTCGTTTTTCTGAAAAGAAAACTAATCTGTTTAACTACATACTAATGCAATTTTAGTAGAATTTGAGACTTTCAATGAAAAATTTAACCAGCTATGTGTTCGTGTATGACTCAATATTTTTCTCTGGTAACTGTCTTTTATACATGCGAAATGCACTGTATGCAATTTATTTTTATTTCACTAACATTTGATTCAGCCCTATTAGGGAACTCACTAAATGAGCCAGAGTAAATAATGGCACAGGAATTTGAAGTAAGACAGGGAATTAGTGCTGTGGTGGATGAGGATGATCAGATCAGAGATGGAAAATATCAAGGGACATAAATAATTTAACTCCTAAAGATTCACTCTTTTATAAATTGTCATAAAAGGTCTCACCACAGTGGAAAAAAAAATAAAACAGGGAAAAGAATATAAAGTAGAGAAGACAAGCAGAGTATGATCTATCAATGTATACACACTTACAAAGGTAAGTTTCTTGTAGCTTTCAAGAGTGAAATGAGCTTCTGCTTTGTGATAAGGCCTCCTCCTTGGAGCTAAGTTTTTTTCTGTTCTTTTTCGTAGTCCTTAAGAGGTCTTCCTTGCCTCCTGCAGTCCACTCTGTTGTATAGAATACCATGATGTCTTCTAATTCTGAGACCAGTGTGAGAAAATGGTGCTAATTTGCTTAAGACAGATTCAGTCCACAAGCCTTCTCAAACCTGGACAGATTGGTGCCAATAACTCCAAAGTATTAACAGCAAACAGTGTTTCTGCAGTACTTAGTATTCAATGAGTGGCTCTACACAGCTTTCTGAATGATTGAACTGACTCTGACTTGTGTCATTCCTGACCCTTGCCACCCACTCTCTCCTGTTTACTGATCAGCTTTCTTTAGTTGTTCTAATTTCAGCTTAAAAACTCTCAATTTGAAACCTCTCAGTTTCAAACTGCTTTTCTTGATTCAAGGGTTGGAAATAGGGGCCAGATAGTTGCCCTAACTCTCTTCTTTATAGAATATCCTGTATCTTCTAGTTCAGACAGCCTATGTACACTTTGGTCCTCAACTAACATTAACCTAGCAAGACTTAACTCAGCGTTAGATTCCCTTTCCTCCTTTCTCTCTGACCTTCCCCTCCTTTTCTCCGTCCTTACTTCCAAATACATACAACCTATGCCTCAGCCAGCTCTGACAGTCTTTGGTTGGAGCCAGACAGAAGGAATAACCACTTGACATCTTCCCACATTTTCTCATTAAGTCCCTTATCTGTCTGTATTTCGTTTCCCATTTGCTTGTTCCCTTACAGCCCCTTTCAGTTCAACTAGCACAGAACTCTGTAAAACCACAAAGGTAAAGTGGAGGTACATGTAATATTTATTAAAAAAACAAAATTATAATGTTCATAACTCCCTCATTCTCCACAGGCAGAGTTTTGGAATAGTAACTCTTAACTCCACTATAATGGAAAAAAATGCCTTCAGTAAATGGAAACTTTTGAGGAGAATGCAAGTTAAGTATTCACCAAGGATTTCAGCTTCAAAAGCAGCTGCAATCTTAGTACTTCAGTGCCTTCTGCATACTAAAGACAATCATTTAGAAATTTGTGTCATTATTGTCTATTTTTGCAGCAAACAACAAAAGTACCATGGTACCATAGTACTCTGCAGCTATATATCCCCAGAAGTTATACTTTATTTGCTATAAAATTGAGAATAATTTGAATAAACTCTTCATTCATGGGTACATACACACATCCCTTTGCTCCATGTGGTGGTATTTTTTTGATTCCTTCTTTTTAAACAGAACAAAAGGCACATTGTCTGTTCCAAACAGCTCTTTATTTAAAAGGTCATTAAATAAAATACCAAAATACAACAACAACTGCAGTATATGGGTTACACAACTACCCTAAGGATTTGGTAGTACACAAAAATAACCAACAGATTTCACTCATGCAAGAACTGTTAAGTAAACTATTTCTAAGACCTTCTCTATACCTGCTATAAAATAGGAAACCCTTTTATTTTTTAGGACGAAGATTTTTCTTTAACCACAGGGATTATTCACTGAACTAACTAAATTGTTTTTTGCATCCTAATAAAAGGCTTTACAATATTAAATTCTAGGAAGTGTTGTCTTTAAATACATACTAACAATATGGTTTTGGAAAAAAAATTTGGAGGAACCACATGATTCATTCCAGACAAAATGATTCCCAAGTCATTGCTCTGTGACAACTTCCTTTAAGAAAATGATGGACAACATAACACATACTAGTTCTTTTTTTTCCTTTTTTGTTTCTTTTTTGTGTGTGTGTACATATTTGTTTTAGACCTTGAGTTAAATATTTACAGAAGGAAAAAAAAATTCTAAAATATTATAAAAATATTATAAAAATATGTTTTGCAGCTTGGATTTTTAAATAATGAAACAGAAAAATCTGCACTAATGATGTCAAGATTGTCTTTTAGGATGTTTCCAGTCTATTCTCAAGATCAGATTCACTGACATACAAACCCAGAAGTTTTTAATTCACCTACTGTTAACACTTTGTTAAGCAGCTTAGACACTACATCTGGACAGAGGTCCTCAGGCTGCTGGCAGTCATTTATGAAAGCAATGTGTAGACTCTCTGAGAAGCCCCTTATGTAGACATAAGAGAAACACATCCTGCAAAGATTCCTAAACTGAACTTCAAGAGTAAAGTAGAAAATGGTTCCAGACTAATACCGCACAGTAACCTTTAGGACAAAACAGACTGGTACTTGACCCACTGGGAGCTTGAACAGACAAATGCTATTCCTTAGTAATTCATGTTCAGTTATGTATAGTCCCATCTTTTCCTTCTGTGGGAGGGGATGTGAGGAGTCTCCCGAGACAACAGCTGTATGCTCTCATCTAGTTGGGAAAAGCAAGTCTTAGTTGGGCAACTAACAGCTCCTGAAGGCTTTATGTTTCCTAATAGCTGACACCCTCAAAAAGTTCCTGTGTGGCTCCCATGCCATTTCCCCATATTGCTACCTCAGAGGAATCATTCAGCAAGCCAAAGTCTGCCGGATGATAAGGTACCACAAAGCTCTTTTTAGCCTACTGTCTGATTATTGGATGTGTCAGATCCATCCAAGTATCCTGGATCTGCCAGGTTTTGAAATCTAATAATCAACATTGTGCTTTTTTGTCTTAATGTGACACCTGCTGCATTCAAAAGATTGGATGAGCATGTCAATTTTCAGTAGCAAGGAATAAAAACAAACAACTATGTTTTAGCTTCTCTTGTTGACAAAGCTTAAAAATGTGATTCAGATACTTCCTGGCAGTCCAGGAAATAAAAATCAGTTGACATCTATTTATTACTTTATTTAGATGTCAGTGCTAGTTAGTTAGTCATCTATCTATTTATCTTTTTGCAGGTTTTTGCAGCCTCATTCATTACTTTTGAGTACTTGAATTTGGTAGCAATGAAAATCTCATTCCCCAGGCTCTTTGTGAAGGTTAACCTGGACAGCAAGGTACAAGTTCTGACTCTATTGCTATGTCACAGAAGTCACTTTATTTTGCAGGTTCTCTGCAACCCTTGCTTTATGGTTGCCTTCAGTCAATCCAATATTTTGAATGTGGAGACACCAATGATCAGCCTGGATCCTTAAGGAATTTCAGAAGAACCTGCTCCTCTTTCTGCCCTCCTACACTCAAGTCTTATAGTCGTGGCTTACATCCTTAATTTGACACCACATAATGCAAACTGGTAACAAATCTTGGGGAAAAAGAATAAAGATCAAGAACAAATTATCATGTCTCCATTGTGTGTTAGTCAAGAATAGGGTATGAGGCACAGCCACAATCATGAATTGCAAAATTAAATCTCTTTTAATCTGCAAACTCCAGATTTCATCCACTCTGTTCAAATCACAACCATTAATCTCTTACCTAAAACATAGAACAAAGTTTAGACTTATCATAGAAAAGAACGAAAACAGCAAATTTTATAATATACTGCAGGCAAGACTCAAGAAAGCTGACAACTTAATTTATCACCACATTTAACCTTGACAACAGTAACCATTATTTTTTAACATTTCCTTTAAAGAAAAATTAACAAAGATATGCCTCAGAGATGATAAAAATTATTGATTTCTCTATGTTTTATTTTTCTTGTATAGGGCATTTGTAAGATTATGGATGATAACTATTAAAATATATAAAATCAAATTAAATCTCAGTTACATTTAATTCTACATTACAAATAACTGAGAGATTTCTGAAATTGCTTTGTATGACAATATCCAATATTTTAGGAAATACTTAAGTATAAAGTTTCTGAATAATTGGTATAATTATTCATGAACTTCATAAAAACATCAGCATATGTAGGAAAAACTTGGTCCTTTGCAGAAACAGAGAAAGACAGAAAATATCTCAGTAATTGCCTCTATAAAACAAAATTGTTTGTATCAAGAGGCAGTTCTTTAAGCGAAGGTAGCAATCTGAGTTAATGGTCTTCAAAACAACATTTTTAAATTTAAGGCAATTATGGAAACAAAGGAAAGGAGAGGAAAGGAGAGGAAAGGAGAGGAAAGGAGAGGAAAGGAGAAAAGCTGTCTGAATTTACTAAATCTACATGTTGTGAGGATCTCCTCCAGCTTGAACTTCATTCAGCATCCCTGGCTGCTGCAAGGCAATGCACATACCCTGAGGATCCCACTTCAAGAATGTGTGAAATAGACACAAATATGCATAAACCTGCTTATATTTTCTTGCTGCCATCATACGTAAAGGAGGGCTAAAGAAAGGCTGCAATTCCACAGCAGTGAGGTCATCAGGAGGTAGCAACAGCTAGAAGTGAGAGGAGATTTCAAGAAAAAAAGTTCCTCCAGCCATCAAAATATCCCTTAACAGCTCTGTACGCCTGGCTTAATCATATGGTTTAAGTGTGTTTTCTAACTTTTTAATGCTGCTATGCTTGCTTTTCAGCAATGACCAGTAAACTGAAATGCCAGCATTGGCTTTTGTAGCTTTACTGACCATGTTGCAATTATGAATATTGTTTCCTCATCTAGTTAAGACTGTCTCTCACTCTGGATGACATCTCTCTGACGGCTTCATCAGAGGCTAGGGAACAACTGAACAAGCTACCTCCTGCCATACTTTAAGCTCTGCCCCCTTCAGTGACACAGAGTAGCTGACCATGTGCAGATTCACAGCATGCTGAAAGGAAATGGATTATTTTAAGCCATTTTCAGCCAGTCAGTCGGGCTAATCTGTTATCTCTGCACTGCAGGGAACAAGTGCACAGTCACAGGGTAAATCCCACTTGAGTGTGGAGCACTAGATGAGGGTGGAACAGTTAGTCATCATCATTTGAGGTCCTCCACCATCACCCTGAATATCTAAATCACCTCCAAAATAAACATGGAAGGGTGCTTTTGTTTTCAAAAATTTTAACATTTTCTATCAGATGACAACCACAGTAATTTATCCAACTCTTTTTTTTTAACACTTTTACTCTTAAACTGAACATGAGAAAAAAAAAAATATCATGGCAACCTATTTCTTTTTTACTTATTCTTCTGTGTTCCCCATGAAATAGTGATGTGAAGTTTCTTTTCTTTTTTCCTCATATATTGCTAGCAGTGAATTTTGGAACAAACTTCTGTTCTGGTTTGTTATTTCAGACCAACAGGTAATTTAGAATTTAAAGTGTCCATAATGGGACTAGGGACCTTGTAGGTTTGTTGGAAAAAGGGATGTTTCTTAGTCACTTGAGAGCATACTGTGTCTCCAGTCTAATTCTACAACAGTTTCATAAAAAAATAAAGGGTATGAATCTACTAGAACCTTATTTAAGCAAAGCCCTTAAGTGCATTAAGCATTTAAAGCATTGAGATCAAATGTGCTTAAGTGCTTTGCTGTATTCAAGACATAACAATTATTACAGTAATTAGTGTATGCTTAGTTGTATCTTGTGAATGCATGCACTTAGTGGCTATTAAATAAATAAACTGATTAATAAAATGAAATATAATTAGCTTTGATATAGTTAAAAAAAAAGACATTTTACTGGAAAAAAACCATTCTTCCCCATGTAGCAAAGCTGCTGTAGCCATTGGTAGGGGTATGTTTTTCTATGCCTATCCCTGTGTACGTTTAATAATAATTGACAGAAAACCTGACCTGTGAGAAGATAGGAAAATTCTCTGAGTGTTTTTTTTTCTGGCAATTTGTTGGAACAGCATTATTTTGAGGAACTATCTCAAACAGAAAACAGATATGTTTTCAAAAACAACATCTGTCCCATTCCTTGCCTCCTGGTTGAGCATCCAGACTTCATTGATCTTGGATTATTCCTCTACTTTGACTGTTGTTGTAACCCCCAGTTCTTTCAGATTGTTTTCCTCCAAGGTGGGATCCAAGATCTTTGAGATCCCAACTGTCATGTACACATCACAGACACAGAGCTGGAAAATCTGTAAATTTCAGGTGCATTTGATTCCTAGTGGCGTGAAAACATTTTTCCCATGCTGGGAGGTTCCCTCTCTGTCAGCTTCCAAGGCTGTCTTTAATTCCTGAAACTGCCTGTTGTTATTACAAATTTGTAGAGGGAGAGGAAGCAAATGCCTTTTACTTGTAAGTTTAAGGTGTTCTAATTTTAATTCCTCTTGCAAATATTTCTCCCAAGTTTCTCATGTTACCAGATTAGTATTTTGACTTTAACAGTTACAGTACAGGAGCATGAATCAGCTTCTATTTTTTGTCTTTTTTTTTCCCCTAAACATTCATAGATTAGTTAAACACTGCAAATTCTTTTACTGATTTAATAAACTGTTTTCCTTATTTAGTTGGTGATACACAAGACTTTGAAGTACATCTGGGTTTTTTATCCGTAGCATACTTTGTTAAAGTCTCATTTATGTATTGTTTTCTTAAATTATGACTCTTCAGTGGTAAGTTAGGAGTAAAGATCTTAAAATTCATTTACAAGCAAGCCATTTAAAATATGAGTTTTGAAATTGCTATTTACTAGTTAGCTGATAGTATTTCATACCTTCCTTTGATATAATCCCTAATAAATTAAATTGGCTAAAATATAAAATATTGTGGCATTTCTGGCTATTGTGGCATTTCTGACTAGTGTATTATACAAAAATTTGCAAGCATGTATATGTTTGAGATGTTGCATAAAGAAATGTTAAGATTCTCAGTATGGTTTGTGGACAACAATTTACTTGGTTTATGTCAGTGTGCTTTATAAAGTAGTAAAAGACTACAATATTGTTGGAAATATGTTGAAGTCTCAGTTTTGTACAATACATCATGCTTAGAAACTAGATTTATTTGCAAATGTATTGGTCCAATTAATCTCAAGTAGGAAAAAATCACAATCAAGAAACAGCAATTGCAAAAAAGACACAGTTATGTTATCATTTTGATGATTTTCCATAATATATTTTCACACAAGTATGATTTTATATTTAAATATGAGAACTATAACGCACAGTTACCTATAAACTAAATATACATTGTTTTCTTCTGCTGCATCAGTAATATGAACTTCTCTTGAGTATGTATGGTCTTCTAGCTTTGTTCACATGTAGCTGCCGTTTCAGAATATAGGGATTTTTTCTTTTCATTATTTCCTTGTCTTGGCTTGAGTTATCTAGATCAAAAGCATCTTGCTGAAGTAACTGTAGGATGCAAGAAGAGATACAATGTTATCAGCTTTCTTTGGTGATGAAGATTATAAATTCCTAGACAGTTTTAAAAAACTTTAACATCTGCCACCAAGAAAAGACTTTACCATAATAGTTGCATAATAGTTTAAAAAAAAAAAAAAAAAAAAAAAAGAAGAAAAAAAGAAGCACAAAAGTCAAGACATGAAATTAAGATTTGGCTAAAGATGAGCTGAATCCTATGGAGGTGATATTTAAATTCCACTGAAATTAATTAGGTCATTGCTTTTGATTAGAGAGAAAAGTTGGTATATCCTTCCTGGACTAAACTCAAATTGACTGAAATCTTCCTAATGTTTGTCACTGTATAATCACTCACTTAGGCTGAACACCTAAAACACCCACTGCTTGCCAGTTTCAGCTTTTGAGCAGTATTTTAATCTGCAACTTCCTACAGCTAAAAAACCAAAATGTACAATAAACAAATAAATTAAATAAAACACTGGAAAGCCAACATTTTGTAAATCAAGTCTTCTTATAACTGTATTTCAACTTTTACATGGAGTTTTTGAAGTGTTTTGTTCAGATTCTTTCTTGCTTTATTTGTTAAGATTTCATCCATTCTCTCACCATGTTCTTCCATGGTCCTGCTGTCCTACTGTCTGGATGAAAGGCATTAACCTGAAAACATTTTTATACTCACCTCAGTATTTTCCTAAACAATCAAACTCTGTTACTCACTTAATTACTTAATAAATGAATGCTCATCTAAATGCTATTGAAATGAATGGAAAGACTCATGGTTTCGACAGACTTTGGAGTCAATCCTGAATGAATAAGATCACAAGAACTTCTTTCATTATATAAATTGTTTATTTCAAGCCTTCTCCTAGCCTTCTCCCTCTGGCTCTATCCCTTTGTGTTTTATTGCATTTTCTAAGCCTCTGCACAGCATAAGCGTGTTCCTAAGGTGAGAGAGGAATATTTTTTTCAATTTCACATGCAGTACTGTTAGGAGTGATGATTCCTAGCCACAACATGAGGTGATGAAACTGCAAAGTAAGGAATTCTGATTAAGTCATATGAAGTATTGCATACAGTCAGTTCTATGGTAGGTCTTTTTCAGCAATAAATGATGAATAAAGTCCCTAGAAAATTCTGGTTGTCAAAGATGCTGCAGTCTTTTTTATGGGCCACCCCAGCTAACATGAAGGACTGAGAATAAGCCTGGAAATGCAGAGCTGTGATTAAGCAAACAAGAGGTTCAAGATTCAGCCAGACTGTTTGTGAACCTGTGATAGTTGAAGAAATTGGATTTACTGGAAAGTGGGTAGTGACACTGAGGTGTCTTTTTTCGCTATGCAAAACAGCTTTTAGTGTAATATAACAAAGCAAGCAGAATGTGCTCAGTGATATTTGCACGAAGATAAATGTCACAAATGGACTATAAACAATCATTATTGAAGAACATCAATCCTCATACAGTCACATGGTGAACTTACAGGGCCCTCTTCAGGTGTGGGGAAGTGAAAAAAAACAAAGTTCCCTTTCTATTGGTTTCCTAGCAATGATAAGAAGCCCAGAGCACCTGGTAAAATTACATGTACACATGGGCATGTGTCCATGCATTTTGAATCCAGTTTGCCTTAGGGCCTTAAAAGGGTTTTCAGAAACTCTGTCTACATTTAGTAGTATGCCTTAATACATCTGCAGTAACTTCACGTCTATTAAGCAGATATTAATTTCATGTTCTGGCACAGAGCTCACTTTTATGTGTTTGTTTGGTTCCTTGGAATACCTACAAAGAGTGGAGAAAGTATATAGTTAAGGATAGTTCTCATTTATCCATAGGTCGTTTTAAAAAATAGACTCAGCTCATCAGGAACTACATTAATTCACAACTCTTCCAATAGGAGGCACATTAGAGGTATTAGAGAATACAAAAAAGGCAATGCTCAGACAGTGTGATGGGAGTTACATGGATATAGATTTTAAAACATCACTACAATAGAGCTTGAAAACTTAATAGCAGTTGAAACATGTTTGTGGCAGTTTGTTTTACCTCCCAGTGCTGAAAGGCTCTACTGTGGCAAACTTTTTGGAGTTGATATACTGTCAGCATTGCTTCCAAGCTGAAGCCATCCAGAGCAGCAGGAAACTGTCTTCCTGAAATGAGATCCTCTTCGTCTACCTCTACCGTTTCCCCCACTTGGTTGTTTATGTTGTTGACAAGATTGCAGACATTTAGCAGGGTCATTTTCCAGTAAGGAAGTTTTGCTCTGTTAATCTGAAAATACAAATACCCAATGTTTAACATGTTGCAATTTTTGTTTGGTTTTTTAGCAATAATGTATGACATTCAAACATTTTGGTAGGAACAAGCTTGTATGTCTGAAGTACTTTTCATCTACTCAACTTTTAGACAATAATTAGAGAGTGCTGAAATTAGGACAACTCTTTTATTAAACACACCAGGTCTGCTTCCCCACAGCTTTACCCCCCAGGTGGATATACACGATGAAAAACTGAACTCCTACCAAACCAGAATGGTAGCATTTCATAGTCATTCTGCACAGGTGCAAACAAAAACACAGATGGAAATTAATATAATATAAATTCACAGGCGTAAATCAGGACAATGAGTCAAACCCACTGGATAAATTCCCAGTACTGGAATCCGAGGTGGATGCCTGTGGTTAACTAGACGCTCCTCCTCAGTTCAGAACAAATACCAGTCATTTCAAAATTCCCTGAGAAAAGGAACAGAGTCCCTGCTTCAGGGCAAGCTATCTGATGAGGCTGGGTCTGAAGTTATGGAATCCATAAGCCTCAGGAGTTTTGGATGCTGGAGAGTCATGAGCCTGGGAGATGTGAATTGAAGGTCTGTAGGCTTAGCTAAGGATGGACCAAAGATGAAACAGAGCCATGCAAACAATGTAATCCTGATTTGGTAACTGGACTGAAAACCTCAGACCAACTGTACTTAGCTGGTCCATAATAGACCTGTTCAGAGATGCTACAGAAAGACAGAAACAGAAATTTCACCATGGTTTGTCTCCAATTTTGCTTGCTCCAGTATTTTGCATGATTTAGAAGCTATTTAAGTTTTAAACCCTTTTTTAAAAATGTTGAGAAAAATAATTGTTACTTTTCTACTGGTCCTGTTCATTCCAAGCAGTTGTGGAAGTAGTCTTCTTCAGTTTTGATTGTCAACCGAAAAAAATAAGTGAAAAACCTAATTCCTACCTCTTCATGCCTTTGCCTCCTTCTTCGTTCTCCCACTATTACTTATTTCTTTCAAATTATATTCCTTTTAGTGGTGAGTATAGAAATTAGTTTCCTTAAACTAGAACTGGTGACACATCAACCTCCAATCAGAAGCCAAAAAGCAAATTCCTATTACTGGCAAGGGCTTCCTTGCTGTGCACATTAAGATTACACGTTACCTATGAACTGAAATGTAGCTGCCTCTTTTCCTGGATGTACAAAGTTAAATATAGGTATTACATAAACACAGACGTTGCCTTTTACATACTGACAGCATTAATTAAGAGCGTGGATGCAGTGCTTACTTAGCTGAGCATTAAGTAATCACATAATCTGTTATTTCTTTAAAGCATCTTCCTAAAAAAGGGGCATTGTATGCAAGATTTACGCATATTCATCACAATTCACTATTTTTTGAGGGAGAAGAATGAAAATGCAGAGGAGTGAGGAAGAAAGAAGAAAAGCTGGCATCACTATTGGCATTAGTTACAAAAAAAAATAAAAAACTTTTTGGCTATAATCATTACTCCAATATATATCTGGTATATGCATGCCTTTCAAAAAGGGAATAATTTATTCTTTTAATAAAACCACTATGTGTTCTCAGATTCCTCACAGGGGTCAGGAGAAAAAAAAAAAAGAAAAAAGAGTATTTTGTTTTGAGGCTAAGAACAAAACAAATGAACTCTTATTCAGAAGCTTGAAATCTGTTCTGCATTGTTTACTTTGACCGCATCTGCTTTTGCATCAGGTGCCCTAATTAGTCTATTGAATTATTTGAAAATATATGATAGATTAATAACATAAATCAATCTCTTTGCAAACTGTATAATTTAATTAACAGAAGGTAAGCTAGCTAAAACAACAAGTGTCCACTGCAATTTCAAAATCTTCTTTGGTCTGTTTTAAAAAATGTGTGAAATATAAAAATATGGGTTTTTCTATGAAAAATGAGGAGGCTTTTCCAATGCAATTCTCTCTCCAGGGTATAGGAAAGATATGTGAGCTAGCCCTACAATAACTAAATTTCAGTGAGGAATAAAAAGTAAGGGCATTGCTATGCGATCAAGTGAGAGTCCTCAATTAAAAACAAAACAAAACAAAACAAAAAGTTCCAGTGGATGAGAACAGAAGAGGAAAGGGCAGGGAAATTTGTTATGCCTTCTTGTGTAATTTATGCAATATTTTTGATGTAAAATTACTACTTTATGTTAGCCTGATGCACCTCTATGTTTAAAGGAACTTTCCTCTGCATACTGGTAAAATACTTAAATAGCAGACTTCAGTACGTGAGATTGGTCTTAGCTGCTATTTACGAGGTTAGGGGGAAAAAATTTGCAGTGCTGTTTGCATGCATACTTTGTTTGTTAAGGGAGTCTAATATGTGAAAATATAGTTTAAGATGACCATAATTTAAATGTTCATGTTCAGGTATATTTCCAATGGATAATATAGTTTCCACACTGGTCCAAGCAATACCAACTATGGTTGTTCAAGACATGTTTTGGAAAACACCTACACAAGAGATCAAACAACTCATATCTGCCAAGATGCAACTAAGTTTTTTTAAGATTAACTTGAAAAATATCTGGGAGTGATCTGAAGGAATAAAAGAGATTGCAGTATGAATCAGCAATTAAAAGTTATTAATGCTGAAGTGAAGGTGATGTATGCATAGCCATTGTTGAACATGCTTCTGAAATAATATTCAGATCTATAGTTTCCCACACCTCATATATCTTGAAAGAGAATTTTAAATCAACTGACAAACTGAAATGAGCTTGAGAATACTTCCTTCTTTGCAATAGGCTTCTCCTATGAAAAATTAAAGAGAATCACAAATTATAAAGTCTATGGTATCTTTTTCTTTCCATTTCTGGTTGAATGATACCCCTGATAGTTTAAGATACTTCTTATGTTACAATGCATACATCCCAAATGACTTCTTGGTTTTTTTAGAAAAAGAAAGTTTAATTCTCAGCTTTTTATATTCTCGTCTTTATCTAGAGAAAGCAGATGAAAAACAATTTCATAACCAAGTAAAACCCAAGGTAATATAAGATCTCTAAGGTTCCTTTTTGGAGTAGAGGTTGAATTTTGTTCAGAATGTAATAATAGAAATAATAAACATAGACATAATAAAATCTGTCTTTAAGCAGATATGGTATTGAGTTCTATTAAAGTGGAAGTTCTTCCATAATGTATACTAATGTCTGTAAATGTAATGAATTATTATGTGATGACTGAGTCAGGAAGTCAGTAACTCCTAGGCAGCTGTAACCTCGTCTGCCTCTGAGAAAAAGGCTAAACTGTCTGGGCGTATACAGTCAGCAATAGGCATCATAGAACTGTAAGAAGCTCAGAGGGTCCAACACTTCAGAAAATTAGTGTGAGTGGGGGAGTACATTCTATTGATGACACATTCTTCAAGGAAACACATATTTTTTTTCTTTAACTAACATCATCTCAATCTTGTTTGAAGTCAGGACATTCTTCATGCAAGTGGTAGTTTCAGGCAAGCATTTAGGAAGCTGGGAATAGAGCTATCTACTTGATACAAAAGAGTGACAGCAGATAACTGTCCGCATATTTGTGACACTTCAGGTTGTGTTGTCTTACAGATCTTCCAAATGGCTTTTTGGATTTTATCTTAGAGGAAAGGCAGATAAAGCATTTTAAGGACTTACTTGATCCCTGTGTCTTCTTTGAGATGTAACAGCAGGGAAGGGTTATAAACTGTATTAAATGTTGAAGACACGTCACAATGAGCATGGACATGCTTCTTTAAAGATGGAGAGTGATTCGGCATACAGATGACTTTAAAGAGCATTTTGAAAAGGCCCAGTAGACACTGGACAACTATGCTTCATGAGTACCTACTTAGGATGATTTTTTTCTGTGAAGTGATAAACCACTTCACTACATTTTTACATTTGAGCTTTCATAAACATAATTTCCCCCCCCCAATCTTAATGCTATTTAAATTGTCTGCATTTCCCTTGCTGCTTTTTACCAAGTCAATGTCAAAGACAGTTAATGCAATTTAACGGTAATTGCCCTCAACTGGAACCAGATCTCAGACACAACACAAGACAGTTATTACACATACCATCCTCAAATTTGTCTCTCACAGCAGAACTATTCTTTTGCTCTAATGAGGGTTAAAAGCTAGCAGAGAACAACAGAAAAAAAATAAAAATAATTTTTTATTTCAGTAATGAATGGAATAGTGGTATGCCTCTTGTAGAAGCATTTATGCACAGTGTTTAGAGGTTCTGCCATGCCTTACCTTGATGGCAAGAGACAATGTATACTGGACTAATGAATTTTAGATGGTGATTTAAGGCAGTATAATGTAGAATTAAAACAATATCTCCACCATGCATCTACTGCTTCTGTCAACTTCAAGCATCACTTGCCTTACGGTATATATCATAAGGAAATTGAATAGCAAGCCAGATGATGTAAAACAACATATAAGAGTATTATGTCAAGCATCATGACATTATCATTGGTGAAATATATTTGTGCATTTTTAGTTACCTGAGATTGTGCTATGTGCTGAAAGGGAGAAAAAGATGGAAGTGGAAGTTAGGTTCACAGTTCCACTAAAGCCAGTAGCTTCAGGGTTTCCTTCCAGGTCATACTATGCTTTACCACACAGAGAAAGGACTATTTTTGTCAGCCTCCTACATTTAAATATGTCTCAGGAAAAGAACATCTATTAAATCTTTCTGTACCTCAGAGAAGCAAGTGGCAAACAGGTTTATTTGGCGTCTAATTAATTACCATGCCAGTAAAGAACATGGGAACCTCGGAACTGCCAGACCAGATTAAAACAATATATTTTCTGGCGTCATTTCTTACTCTAGTCTGTTCAAAGGATCCTGTGAAAAAGCTCAGATATAAGCAAATACAGTAAATGCAGAAGTCTTCCAGGCAGGTTTTGTCCTTAACTTTCAACTATTAGCTTATTAAACTCTTTGGGGGTGGTGGGGTGGTGAATTTTCATTTCTGATGTTATTTTCTGTTGAATTTAAGTACCATTTGAACTTCATAAGAACAAAGAATTAAAACATTGAACCTTAAGCCCATGGTACTTGTTTCTGGGTGTGTTCTTTAATATGTTGTTGAAGAAATATTAGACATATATATTTCTTAGATCATTTGTAGAAAATAAGAGTGTTGAGAAAGTGTTTGTCTATCAGCCTGTTCAATACATACATGCAACACTTGCTGCTTCACCTTGTCAATATGAGATCGAAACTGAATTTTTGTCTATTTGCATTAAATAACATGTACGTCCCTCACAGTTGGCAACTTGTCAAGGAAATGTCATTTATCAAATTAATAGTTTCACAATCATGTCCCCATATTCCTGTACTAACACTAACTCTATGATTAAATTCCTAAACCAAAATCAGCATATGTATTTACAGTTTTTGCTTTATGACTATCTTAATTTTATATGGATATAGGAAAAGTTCTGCATAAACATAGTGCTTATGGATTTGACTCAAGGTTAATTTAGCTTTCATCAGGCATAATCCTATTGGAAACACATTTCCTCATATAAATTTACATTGCTGCACACAACACAGTTTTGACAGTTTAATGGAAGTACCAGTGTTTCAAGTGAGGAGCACTTTTAGTGTGTCACATCAACACCTTTAAATTTCCTTTGAACTAAAGAAAATCTTGCACCAAAGCGCATTTAGCACTGAACTTTTTGGTCGAGATCATAGGTTATTACTTTGTGCAAAGACTTCTGGGTTTGTAATGAGAATTCATTTGCTCCCTACCCGTCAGCTAAAAGAGGAAAAATAATTACCTTTGATGTGTACATATTGGTCAATAAATCTGCTTCTAACGCTTTCATTTCCTCTTCTGAATCTGAGAAAAAAACAGAAACATATGTTTATTATTTAATCACAGACATTTCAATTCAGTATACAGAGTTTTGATTCTGTGATTTTGATTTTTGAGATCAATGAATTTTGAAAAACAAACAAACAAACAACTTAGATAAAAACACGGCAAAGTGATTTAGAGGGACTTTGAGGAGTCTTCAGGTAACAGCAACATCATGTTAAAATGGATACTATCTTTTTAAAGCATGATCTAGCTTACTGAAGTGAATGAAATGATTCATTAATCTCAGTTCACACGTAGACAGGCCCACTAATGTGCAGCCGTTTCAGTATACAAAACTGCTACAATATTCTTCATTCAAAATCAATATGATTTTCATAGTCCCTATTTGCCACCTCTCCTTACTTTGGAAGAAGATCTTGGATATTTATTCAATATTTATTTAAGTAGCAGCTAAATATTTAGGTGAATGGCAGTTACAACTACTTGACTGTTCTTAGTTAAATTAACAACATTTTTATTCATATGAAAGAATTGAGCTTGATCGGTTTGTGATACAAGCTCTTGACAATGCATAGACCAAAAGAAAGTATTCTGACTGAACATCTTAGGATTTCCTTTACAAATTTAATTGACCTTTGATAGCCCAAGAGACTTACAAGACCCATGATTTGGTGAACAGGGTAAAAATTGCTGTACAAAAAGAAAATTACCACGAACTTTACTATTTTGTCTGTACAGATTCACAAGGAATATCTGATACCTTGAAAATGTAGCAGCAACCACAGCTCAAAGTTGAGATACATACAGAAATCCGTTAAGTTTTCAAGCGAAACAGAGTTCCATGTGGCTTTTAGCTTTCCATGAATACCAGCAGTCCAAAGCCAAATATGCTTACTTACATTTAAAACCAAATTAAACTAAAATCTATTTCGCATTCATATAATTCATATTTCACTTTCATTAAAGTGATCGATGCTGCTGTCATGTAACATGCTACCACAGAATCTGTGGATAGATTCTGCCTATGACTTCAATTCAGGGATCATCACCATGTTGTGTCACCACCTTTCACAGAACATGAGACTGTAAGGGACATTTTATACTCATACATTCTAAAATACCATAGATTTCTGCTAGCAGAGGAAGCCAACCATTATAATGCTCTTAAAAATTTATCATGTTCCTTCTTAATAAGATCTCACCACCACTGTGTTTCTTCGAGAAATCCTTCCAAACTATTACTGATTATTCACCTTCGTCTAATTTAAAGTCTAATTTATTTCTAATTACAAATTTATTAATGGTTTGTATATAACTTTCTTCACTACTAATTACAGCTTTCTATTCATAATGTTTACCCAACTCATGTATTTTTTGAGAGCAATCACAGCCCTTCCCAGCCTAAATCTTTAGAGTGTGTGATTACGTGGTGATTAGCAAACAAATGCAAGATCATTGTGTCTTTTGGACATAAACCATTCCCCTGGAAATCCCATAAATACTTCACTGAAAGGCTATGCCCAGAGCTATTAGATTCTCATCTGTTCTCCTGTCTTGTAATATCCCTGTATTCCCCAACTCATCAGAGTGGTCCTCCTCTGTCCCTGATGTGATCTCAAGACAGCACAGCATAGTACAGTTCAGATCAGAAGCCTCAGTCTTAATGCTTACCATTAGCTGCAGGAGGTAGCTCTCTTACAAATTTTTTGATTTTGTTTCTTTCCTGGCGGAAAAACTTTAGTATCCCATAAAAAAAAAAGAGGTCAGATAATATGACCAAGACTTTTATCTCCTCAGACATTTCCAACAGCTGTGCTTCTGTTAAAAGGAGCTTTTAATAGGAACTTCTATTATTTACTAAGCTATTATATTTTGCACTGCTGCACTGCTTTTCATTTCTACTATTCAAGTCTTCCTCTGTAGTGATGCTCCTGTTCAGTTTTGCATTGCCAACACCCTACATTCATGCACTCTTACTTTTTGCATCAAAGTTGTTATTGAAAATATTAAATGAGACTAGTTTGTTGACCAGTATTACAGCAAGTTACTTTCAGCCCTTCCAGCACTACTGGTTGTCAGTTAACTGCTTTACCATTAGCCAAAGTTTGGCTGGCAGCACAATATTACCTCAGCTGAATTTCTATTAACGATAGCAGCAGCTCCTGTGTATGGGTGAGCGGCACACGTGTGACAGCATCGTGATTTTTGGTGTCTTGAGTCCTACCAGCTGAGGACAATGAAAGGACTTGTGTCTGGTTAGCATCTGTTTTTTTAATATTGCATAGAGGATGGAAGATAGCTTCCACACCATGGAGGTTGGAATATAGCCGCAGATGTGGAAGATAGGTAGGTATTAAGAAATACTTAGAGAAAAGAAGCCTGAAGGACGTTATTTAGGAGGTTGGTCAAGATCCCTCAAGTGAAGGCTACAGCAAGGCTTGGAGGAGAAGAAGGGAATACATCCAGGTAATTTAGGAGTGAAAGAGACAGATGAGGAGTAAAAGCATAAAAAGTGCAGGTTCTCAGAGAGCAATGTGTAAAAAGCCTGGTTACACATCATTGTTCCAATCAGAGGGAAATTCACAATTTTATGTCCTCTTGATTCACTTCTTACAGACAAGACATAATAGCTTCTATTCATATATTCACACTCTGCAGGAATAGTTACATTCTACAGGTACACACTTTCCCCTGAGGGCAAACATTTTCAAAAGAAAACTAAAATCAGTGATCATTTTCTTCATGACATAACTGTCCATATCATTAAAACTGGTTTGGCCCTTCCCTACAAGTTTTTCCATGGAATTTCTCCTTTAAATATAATTTCAAATTTTCAAGCAAATAAACCATCATTTCAGTTAAACATACAATCTTCTTTCTTGGGTTTTTATGAGCCTATTTTAATTTCCACTGATTTTTTTTTACTTTAGTGGGCTTTCATTCAGACTCTATATTGAATTCGAAACTGCCTCACTGAAAACACTAGTCAAGTATTTGTTTAAGAAGCTTCATATCTATGGGGATAAAATAACAAATATTAAGCCCTGTCACTACAATCACCAGTTCTCTATAATATACACAAGAATTATGCTTAAAATGTGATAAAAGGTGTGTGTTATGTGTGTTGCATTTTAATTCTGCAGGGGAATACAAATTGGAAACTTTCATCTAAAGTGAGAATTAAGAATTCTGAGTCCTGAATAATGAAGCTGAAAAATGAAGCTACTTGTAAATTTACTCTTTAAATTTTGTGGAATTAAAGCAATTTTTGAGTTAGGTTAGATTGGATTTTGAAGCCTATTCTGCTTCATCTCTGTTTGTGTACACCTGTTTAATTGCCACCTTACCTATTTTTGATCATAAACTTAGGGCATAAATGACACACACTTTGCTGTGCCATTTTCCAAAGGAGCAGAGAATGCATTTTCATATATGGTCCTCTTTTTTTAGGTTTCTAAAGCAACTGTGCTTGGGAGTAGAAATGCACTTACGTTAACCTTCTTATTGTGTGATCTGCATCTGATTCAGTATTTTTTATCATAATTTCAGATCAGCTGCTGGCAACTATTTCCCCAGAATACTAAGATGGTATTTCCGTCACTAAAAAGTGACTAAAGTACACATATATTCATTTTGATTTGGATTTTGGCAGCTATTCATGAGAGTTGTAGAAATTATATTTGCTATGATGGTCTGGCAACACATGGCATTCAATAAAGCACAAATGAGGCAGCAAAATCAAGTGATGGTCCACACTGATGTATTTTTCCAATGACCAGTCTACACTACCTGCCACGGTACGGATGCTGTGAGGAGGGATGGTTTATATGAAGGGAGAAAGTTACGGGAGTGGTATCAGAAATGATGCTGGCCAGAGCCCGTTATCAGGACCAGCTCCTTGGCGCCTATTGAGTAGCACCGCGGTGGCCCGAAGCGACTTCACCTCCTTTCCTTCGGTCCCTCTGCAGGCGCCGGGAGCGGCTGGAGTGCCAACCGGTCAGAGAGACGTCGGGGGACGGCGGCGAGCGCCCAGCCCGCGGTGCGGGGCGCTCCCGGGGCGGTGCGGGGCTTACCTGAGCAGAGGCTGCAGGAGGCCAAGGCCAGCAGCACCACGCACACCAGCTGGGCTCTCATCCTTTCGCCGCGCTGATCTCTTAGAAAGTAAAGTCCATAAATCCTGGGGAGAGACGGAGAGAGAGAGAGACAGACAGACAGAGACAGTCCCGTCGCTCCGCACCGCTCCGCGCCGCTCCGCGCCCTCAGCACGCGTGCTAGCGAGCGACCGCCGGCACCAGACGGGGGACCCGGACCCTTCCCCAACTATATAAGCCGCGGGGTGATGTCACGGCCGTGCCGCCATCGCCTGCTGATGAAGCTCCCTCCCTCCTCCCCCT